GCTTTTTATTGAAAAATATTTCAAATATTTTGCTACTTTATCATCAAAATTCTTTTCTAAAAATTTGAATTTCACAATATTTAAATTCATAATGGATTTATCATTTAATTAATGGATTTCTAATTTATTACAATATAATGTTTCAATTTTCAATATTGTTTTAATCACAACACTGAAAACAAAATTTACTTTATTCAAATAACTAAATTCTTCTTTATTACTAAATAAATATTTACCTGCATCAATTAATTTTTATTTAAATCAATGAAATGGTATATTTTCTTCAAATACTGAAACTATTGTTTTAAATACAATTTAATTGACTTAAATAAAAATTATTTGATTGAAGTAAATATTCATTTGATAATAATCAGGGTGGCCGCTGGACCGGGAAACCGGGAAATGACAGGGAATTTTTTTGGACCGGGAAAAACCGGGAAATGACAGTGAATTTTGATCTTGACCGGGATTTTGGAAATTTTTTTTTAAAAACACACATTATTTTGTGAGAAAAAATAGAAATATTTATTTTAGGACTTATTAATTATATTTCATTAAAAAAGATTGAATAATCTTCTAAAAAATCTATTTATTTTGTCAGGGAATTTTATGAAAAGTACTATAAAAATATTCAATTTCTAGAATTTATAAGAAAATTATGAATTTTGTTGTCCAACGTAACAGACTTTAGAAAAAGAAAATATTAAATTTAATTTTAAATTCTTTCCATTTCTAACAATAATTAAACAAAATATAATTTTAATTAAATTTGTCAAAAAAATTTTAAAGAGAAAAAATTTCACATCCTATAAAATAGTGAAGAATAAATCAATTTAAAAATATTTTTGCAATAATGGGGCCGTTCAAAAAATACGTAACGCTTTAGGGGGGAGGGGAGGTCAAGCTATTTGTTACGGTCAGCAGAAAAAATGGCGCTAATGTATATAACATTGCGTTACATGGGGGGAGGGGGGGTCCAAATTTCCGAAAAATAGCGTTACATATTTTTTGAACGGCCCCAATATTATAACAAAACAAATTTGAATTATTAAAAATTTGAACTAATTAGAACAAAAGTGATACGAAATTTATAAAAATTAATTTTTAAATAATAAATAAAGTTAATAAAAATAAATAAAATTTATTTTCTTAGAAAATAAATTTTTAAAAAACCGTATTTTGCATTATTATCAATTAGTTTTTTTACAATAATTATTAATAAGCAAATTTTTCTATATTTTAGAATGTTAAATTAATATTATTATAGATTGAATTTTAAAAAGTTTCAAATTGAAGTTTTAGAAAAGTTGAATTTTAAAAGATTTTAATTAAAAATTCTGAATAAGTTAGTTTTTAAAAATATTTTTATTCACATTTTTTCAAATTAGTTATGTTTTTAAATATGTACCTAATATTTAATTGAAAAAATTTCAAATTATTCAAAATTTCATGAAATTGTCTTGTAAACAAGTGGATTTTAGAAATATTTTAGTTAAAATTTCTAGAAAATAAATAAATTGAAATTTTGAAAATAATTTTTAATAAGTTATAGTAGCAATTCTTAAAAATTATTCAAATTTAAAAGGTTTGAAATTTGAATACCTATATGGAAAAATAATGGATAATTAAATATTTGTTTAAAAAAATCTATTTAAGTTCAAAATTATTTTTAGTATTAAAGATATTTAAAAAAATGTATTATAAACATATTTTGAAGTTTCAATTATTTTTAGAGTAAACTAAAATATTTTTAGGGTTTGGGAAAAAGTCAAAGTTTTGTCTAAAAATCAGAAAATTTTTTCAATCTTTCATGGAATAATTTATTTTTAGAGTTATTTTTTATGACCGGGAAAAATAATTTATGACCGGGAATAGACCGGGAAATGACCGTGAATTTTTTTTTATGAAAAAAGTGGCCACCCTGAATTTTAATAGACAAGTAATTTGTTATTCAGAAATTCTTCAATTAAATATATATTAGAAAATAAAAAATTCAAATAATTCTCAAAAAAATTCAATTTTAACTTTTGCAAAAAAATTAATTCTACAGAATTGTTAGTTAAAAATATGAAAAAATTTAGATTCAATTATTATCCAAACTTTTAACTAAAATTCATTTTTTAAATCAATTTTTATTAGAAAAATTCTCCGAGAATTCAATTATGTAAATACAAAAATAAATAATTTACCTATTGAATAAGAAATTTTAACAAATTAAATAACTGAATTTTTTCGATGAATTTTATAAAAATTTATAAGAATTATTACATTTTTCGAGAAATTTGATTAAAATTGTATTAAAAATAATAGAAATTCTGCGATGAGTTTTATTATTTATGAAAATCATTGAATTCCTAACAGAATTTTATTATTTATGAGAATAATTGAATCCCTGTAAAAAATTTTATTATTTATGAAAATAATGGAATTATTGCGAAAAAATTTATAAAAAATTTGTAAATAATTGAATTTCTGTGAAATTAGTATCATTTATGATAAGAATTAAATGTTTGCGTAGAATTTTATCAAAATATTTTATAAATAATTGAATATAATTGAAATAATATTGAAAATAGTTGAAATTTTGACAAGAATTTTATTAAAATTGTATTAGAATATTTTAATCTTTTGAAAGAAATTTATTAATATTTTTGAAAATAATTGAATTTTCTTGAAAAATTTTCTTGAAATTTTTGAAAATAATTGAATTATGAAGAATTTTATTAAATCTTCAAAAATAATTGAGTTCTTTACAGAAATTTTACTATTTATGAAAATATTTAAATTCATGGGAATATTTTTTTTAAAATTATGAAAATAATTGAATTTTCACGAAGAATTTTATTATTTCTAAATATAATTGAATTCTTGCGAAGAATTTTATTATTTATGAAAACATTTGATTTCTTCAAAGAATTTTTTTGAAATTTCTGAATATAATTGAATTTATTATTTATTAAAATATTTGATTTTTGGCGAAGAATTTGATGGCAATTTATGAAATTAATTTTAATTTTAATGAAAAATATTACTATTTATGAAAATAATTGAATTCTTGCAAAAAATTTTATTATTTATGAAAATAATTGGATTTTAGCGAAGAAATCTGTTAAATTTTTTAACAATAATTTAATTCTTTAGAGAAATTTTTTTATTTATGAAAAAATTCGAATTTTTGGGAAAAATTCTTTGAAAATTATTAAAAATAATTAAATAAAATTGTACTAAAAATATTTGAATTTTTTTTGAAGAAATTTATGAAGATTTTCGAAAATAATTGAATTCTTTCAAAAAATTTTATTAAAATTTTTGAAAATAATTGTATTTTGAAGAAGAATTTTATTATTTCTAAAAATAATTGAAATTTTGTCGAGAATTTAGAAAAATTTTTAAACATAATTGAATTTCTGCGAAACATTTTATTACTTTTGAAATTAATTGAATTTCTACAAATATTTGTAACTTCTTAAAATTTTAATTTTATTTAATATGTTTAACTAATCTTCTTCTATCAAATAGATTTATTTTTAGGAATAATTAATTTAATATATATTAAAAAATTGAACCAGTTTCAGAAGAATTTGAATTATTAAAATTTGTCAAAAATCTAAGTTCTTTAAAATTTCTAATTAAATTCATAGAAAATTGAAATTTTATAAAATTTTAAATTGAAACCTTTTCAAGTTCATCTATTTATGAAAATTGTAAACGCAATTTAAAATTCAATTAATTTTAAAACATTCAAGTAAAATTATTTATGAAATATTTTATAATTAATAATTTGATGATAGTTCTTCAAAAATGTAGTTATTTAAAGAGACATTACTGTCAGAAATTGAAAAAATTGAAGGTTTTCTATCAGAATTCGTGGTAATTACATAGTTTTATGAGGCAAACAAAAAGACCCAAAAATTCAGACATTTCTTATGAATTCTAAAAATTAAATTTTTTCCAGTACTTTTAATAAAAATCCTTGACTTTTCCCTGATTTCCCTGACCAATATTCCACTTTCCCTGAATTCCCCTACTAGTGGCAACCCTGTTAATACTTAATAAAATCTTTCAAATAAAATAATATTTCTCTACAAAAAAAAAATCGCAGAAGATAAGAATCAATATGAAAAAATGTAGCCCTAAGGAATAAATTCATTGGAAATTTCCATCGGGTATAAATTACACGAAAAGTTGGCTTAATTTGTCGTGTTTCTTGCGCGCTTGAGGTGTATCATCGTTAAATTGTTGCAAGTATATCTCAGCGCGTTCAGATACATTTCATGTGCGTGCGTGCGACATAAAATGGGCATGAAAGAAGAAAGACAAGTATATAGTCGCAGTATGCGTGTGCACTTAATGTCTCCCGCGGCGATTCACCAACTGGTGGAATAAACCAGTCCTTCAGTACTGGAAATAATGGACCCAACCCAGATATACATACATACATATATACTATACACCCTATAACGTCTTTGGTTGCGGGACAAGAAACTTTAGGTTATAGGGTGTGCCTTTAAGCCGATATCTTTAGGTACGAAGCATATACGGTACAAATACTACTATAAACCGGTGAGATCCCCACGTGGGCGGAATAACCGACGGCTCAAAACTCAAACCACAACTTTACTGATAAGCTCGTTTCACTCGCACGTGAATACTATAATTCTGATTTACATTCCATTAAAAAAAAAAAAAAGAAAAAAAAATATTCCGCCTTCAAAATAAAGTCGCTTTCTTTTCTATATATATTTCTACGAATTTCTCCTTTGGAAAATTTCACAATTTTCTTATGCTTTAGAAATCAAAATATGACTGATAAATAAAATTTACTTACAACAAAAATTTCAATTTGCATCAAATAAAATTTAGAGCAAGAAAAAAATTTCTAGTTGCATCAATAAAAATTTACTAGCAAAAAAATTGCTATTTGGCTGTGAGAATTCAAATTATAATGACACTTACTTGAAAATTACCCACTTGGAAAATTGAATATAGACAAAACTCACTTGGAAAATGCAGCCATTAGCGAATTTAGAGAATGAGATCTCACACAGTTGGAGTAATTATATACAGTTACAAGTTGTCCAACTGTCATTAGGTGAATTGCTGTCAGTTGACCCACCGCGAAGGAAACTCGTTCAGCTCGTATAAAAACTGAGCATAAAAACCTGAAACACAAAATGAGAGTGGAACATAAGAAACTTGAAAAAGAATAAAATTTATTGCAAACAAGATCTTTGTATTTTATCTACTCTTTACAAATATAAGAACTGTTTATACCTCAAAAATGTTAAAACCATCCCAATTACATCATTTTAATTCAATTTATTGCTATACTTCTTTTTTATATATTTTTAAAATTTCTCATTATTTATCTTTTATTTTTATTCTTTTTATTACTTTACTAACAAATGTTACAAGCGGAACATGATATTCAATTTATTATTGTTATGCAACTTACAAAATTTTATGTTTTCAAATATAAATTTTTAAATACTTTCATAATAAAAATTTTAAAAATTCACTTTTTAAATACAAAATTAATTATTAATTTATTGTTTATATTTTCAAAAATTTCAATAAAATTCTTAACAAGAATTCAATTATTTTTATATAAATAATAACATTCTTCGGAAGAATTCAATTATTTTTATAAATAGAACAATTTTTTGCAAAAATTCAATTACTTTTAACAAAATTTTAATAAAATTTCACAAAAGAATTCAATTATTTTCTAAAATTTTAATAAATCCTTCTAAACAATTCAATTATTTTTTTAAATAGTCAAATCTTTGCAAAAATTCAATTATTTCCTAAAATTTTAATAAATTCTTGGAGACAGTTTTAGTATTTTTATAAATACTAAGGCAGGAATTAAATTATTTCTAATCCAATTTAAATAAAATAGCACAAAAGAATTTTTTTTCAAAAATTATGCATAAAATTCACTTTTAACAAGAATTTTAAATTCTCTAAAAATAATTCAATTATTCTCAAAATATTTTTAAAAATTCTCAATTAAAACTAAATTACTTTCAATGCAATTTTCAAATATATTCGTCAAAACAATTCAAAGAATTCAATTATTTTCAAAAAATAATAAAATTCTTCTGATGAATTCAATTATTTTGTATTTACATAATTTTAATAAAATTCTTTACAGAAATTCAATTATTTTCGAAATAACTTTAATTGAATTTCTTGAAAGAATTTAATTATTTTCAAATATTTCTATAAAATTCTTGAAAACAATTCAATTATTTCCTAAAATTTTAATAAATTTAATTATTTTCAAATATTTACACAAAATTCATTTATTTCCTAAAATTTTAATAAATCCTTCGGAACAATTCAATTATTTTTATAAATAGTAAAATTCTTCGCGAAAATTAAATTATTTTCATAAATAAAAAAAATTCTTCGAATGAATTCAATTATTCTTTTTAAATTTTTGGATAAGCTTCTTTGCAAAAATTTAACGATTTTCAATACATTAATTTTAAAATTAAAAATATTTAAAAAGAAATTTTTTTAAAAAAGTTAGGAAAATTTTTAACAAGAATTTCATTGTTCTTATAAATAATAAAATTCTTTACAGCAATTCAATTATTTTCAATATAATTTTAATAACATTTCTCGAAAGAATAAAATATTTTTATAAATAAGAAAATTCTTCAAAGAAATTCAATTATTTTCATAAATAAGAAAATTCTTCAAAGTAATTCAATTATTTTCATAAATAATAAAATGTTTCGGAGGAATTGAATTATTCTCAATACAATTTTAATAAAATTTCTCGAAAGAATACAATTATTTTTAAAAATTGTAATAAAATTTTTCTCAACAATTCAATTGTTCTCAAAAGTTTGTAATCAAAATTATTTGTAAATTTCAATAATTTTTAAAATTTTCAATTAAAATTACTTTAAAAAATTACATTATTTTTACGAAATTCAATGAAATTCTTTTAAAAAAAGTAATTATTTACAAAAACTGTAATAAAATGGTTTAAAATAATTAAATTTTATAGGTTTTAAAAGCTTAAAAGAAATTCTTCTTAAAATTCCATTATTTTCAAAATTTTCAGTAAAAATTACTAAATAACTTCAATATTTTCAAGAATATTGAAATAAATTCTTCAAAACAATTCAATTATTTTAAAGAATTTTAATAAAAATCTTTCCAAGAATTTAAATTACTTTCAATACAATTTTAATTACATTTTCTCGAAAGAATTCAATTATTGAAAAAAATGTTGATAAAATTCTTGAAATGAATTAAATTATTTTCAAATTTTTTTATAAAAATACTTTACAAGAATTCAATGATATTCAGTACATTAATTATTTTAAAATTGAGAACTTTTGAAAAGAAAAATTATTTCAAAAGTTAGGAAACAAAAAAGCAAACAGCAACTAACTTTAAACTGCGAACAGATTACCGAAATACAACGATTATTAATACAGATTTTACAAATTCAATTAATCCAAAATGTTCTTAATATTGAATATAATAATTTAATTCACCTAGCCTGGTAAAATTAACATCCAACTGAAAACAAGAACAACTCAAAATTAATTTTAACCCGTTTGTTTACTTTTGTCATAATTCCCTTCGTTTACAAAGCGGATGAATAACAAAATAATTTAACTATAAAACTGTAAGCGCATAATATTCCTCTCTAAAACCGCGCAATTCTAATTTATGCAGTACTATTAATTTATAATTTTCATATGTATTAATAAGGCAATTAGCGGTAGAATAATATTTAACAGACATGAGGTAAAGATGGATGAGGCAGAAATCCGGAAGAGCTATTAATATTGAAAAATGGTAACCGAGAAAGAGAAGACGAGAGCGAGAAGAACTTATTTTCCATCTTTACATACACCCCAAAGTTTCATTTTAACTTCAATCTCTCATCATCCTACCATTTTACTACTTCATTTCAAACTGAAATCATATTTCTTCGACTCATCTAACTATACTGTATTAAAGATTTCTATATCAAACAGTGGATTTTATTAAAATAATTTATCGAAACAGTAAAATTTGAAAATTTGTAAAATTTTCAGCAACAAAATGCTACAAAGAATTTTTTGCTTTTGCTTTCGATAAATCTTAAGATTTAACACAGAAAATCTTTGGATTTTATCGAAAAATGTAGATAAGTTTAGAGAAAATAGAAATTGTAATAGAAATAATTAAATATAAGGAAGATATGATAATGTCGAGAGTAACAGAGAGAATTCTCTGTTTACAGGCGGAAATGTGAGGTTGACGGGAAGGAGGTGAAAACAGAGCTAACGGCGCAACGCAATATGTTCCCTAGCGCTCAAATTAAAATGAGGTATGTACTCTTCCTTATTAACTAATATTTACGCCTGTCAACATACTTGCTCATTTCAATCACGTAATATACATTTCCAAATTCACAAATCAGATTCGAAACCTCAATATAATTCATTTTAACTTCAATCTCCCTCTAAACTTCAATCAGAATTTTCAAATCAGAACTTTGGAACAAAACTTTAATAATTACTACCTAGAAATAATTTAATAAGAGAGAAAAATTTGATTTAAATAACCGATTACCTGTCTATTATCAAATAAATATTTACTTGAATCGAATAATTTTTATTTAAATTAACGAAAATAATTTAATTATATTTAATTATTTTTTAACGAATAATTTTTTATTTAAATCAAATAAAATGTATTTGAACCAATAATTTTAGTATTTGAAGCAAAAAATTTGCCAAATAAATTCAATTTACTTCATTATAAATGATTCGATAAAAATAAATATTTATTTGACAATAGACAATCGTTTACTGAAACTAAATTTTTTTTCAGTGTTTTTCTTTAATTGTTTCAAATATTAATTCAGGGTTGCCACGCTTTTGCTCATTTCAAATTCCCTGACTTTTCCAGGTTTTCCAGGTTAAAAAACGTATCTTTTCCAGATTTTTAAAACTACATTTGTTGACAACAAAAATTTAATTTTGTTTTTCCCTGACTTTCCCTTGAATTCCAGACAAAATTCTTACTTTTCCTTCACTCTAAAGAATATTTTGATTCAGTTTAAAAATTATTACTCAAAAAAATATTCTATTACTTCTTTTTAAATAAATATTTCATGATTATTATTACCTATTTGAAATTAAACAATTTAAAAAAAATTGTTATAAAACATGAGGAAATCGATCACTCCGAGTCTTCGACTCGGAGCAATCGATATCTTCATGTTTTATAATAATTAATTAATTATCAAAGATGACCGACTGATAAAATAATTATTTTATATTATAAGCGTATTGTTACTGTAACTTCATAAAATTTTTTTTTTCATTTTAATTCAATTATTTTTAACTAAAACTCTTCTTTAAATTAATTATTTTTATTAATTTTTAAAAAATTTATTTGAAAACTTTCAAATTCTTTTGTTTAGAATTCAATTTTACGAAATTTCATAGATTATTCGGAAATTTTTCAATCAAATATATATTAGAAAATAAAAACTTCAAATAATTTCAAAAGTTCCATTGAACTTTTTAAAAAAAATTAAATCTACACAATTTTCAGTTAAAAGTATGAAAAATTCAAACTTTCAAAGATTAAAATTTTGAAAGGAATCAAAATTCCCTGACTTATCCAAGTTTTTTCAAGATTTATAAAATTCCCTGACATTTCCAGGTTTTCCAGGTTTCCAGGTTGCGTGGCAACCCTGATTATATAAAAAATACTCAAAATACTTTAAATAGTGATTGCATTGGTTAAATTAATTGAATTGACTGAATTAATTGAATTAATTGAATTGACTGAATTAATTAAATTAATTCAATTGTTAAATCAATGCGTTGAATTATAAATAAATAATAAAAAATATATTCGGACACTGATTTTTTTTAGATTGCTGTCACCGTGCAGTTCGCCGGCAACGTCACCAACGATGTCAAATTCATCATCGCCAACACCTCCTGCGCCAGTAGCGCCCGTCTACAACCAAAAAATGACGGGAATCCCCTGTGTCGCTGCCGCTTCACGATACACGGCACCCGTTCACATCGACGTTGGTGGCACGATATACACCTCGTCTTTAGAAACTCTAACCAAGTGAGAATCATAAACAGAATATTTTCCAAACACAATTATTTTTTTTACCGTTAATAAAAGATGAAAACAGCAATTTGGGAATCCTCCTATAGTTTTAGGCGACATCCATCAAATAGTTGAAATAAAAGTTGGTCCGCAATTTTAGATCTCGGATTCCACAGCTTTTTCCCTCCATACTGATTCAGATTTAGAATTTTAACCGACATCCATCAAACAGTGGGAATAAAAGTTATTCCGCAATTTCAGGCCTCGGATTCCACATCTTTTTCCCTTCATACTCATTTTAGATTTAGAGTGGTTGAAAGAAGAAGAATAGAAGAAAACCTGAAAGAAAAAAACAAATGAATTATTTGCAATCTACTAAATTAATAAACAAAAATAAATCAGGGTTGCCACAAAAATCAAATTTTCTTTTCCCTCAATCTTTTCCCTGATTTCCAGACAGGATTTTGACTTTTGAAAAGTTCTTCTTCTGCAATATTACAAAAACAAGTTGAAAAACAATTTGATAATTTTTTAACAAACAAATTTTTTTTCAGAATTTCAAATAAAAGTATATTTAAAACTTTAGTTTTTTTTAAATATTTAAATTAATGTTCATTTCTTTACACCAATTAAAATTTTTAAAAATTAGTCTAGCACCTTCTGAAATTAAATTATTTCTGAAAATTACTACATACTGACTTTTAATAACCATAAAATCAATTCAGAATTAATTAGAACGTAAAAAGAAATTGAGGAAAATTCAAGTGGTTTTTAAGTATTTCAAAAATGTTTTTGAATACCAAAAATCAGAATTTCTATATTCATTGTAGAAATTTAATTTTTCCAAAAGCAATTTTGGTAAAAATCCCTGACATTTCCCCGATTTCCTTGATCAATTTCACCTTCCCCGATTTCTCTGACTGATGTCAACCCTGTAAAATAAACTAAAATTAATAAACGGGAGTAAAAAAAACTAAAATTAACAAATTCAGATAAATCGAATAAATATTGACGATTGAATAGATGATGAACAATTCAATAGGTAATGAACAACTGAATAGGCAATAAACCATTGAATTGATAATAAAAAAAATTGAATAGATGATAAACAATTGAGCAGATGATTAACAATAATTAAATAAATAATCAATCAAATAGATAATACAAAATTGAGTAAATAATAAAGAAACTAAAAAAATCACAAATATGAGTGACAATAAAAAAAATCCAAAAAGTAAACCAGTAAAAAGTAGAAAGCAGTTCTAATAATATAATAAATGCATTTCAAGGTTGACAGTAATTTTACCTCACATTTTACTAAACAACAACAATGTCAATTTGTGTTAACTGAAGTGCTTAGAAGAGAAATCCGTTTTATGTGCTCATATACATATATATACAAAGAGCGATATAATCCAAAGTAATCCCGTAACGAAATACACGCCAGAGGTTCTGTATATCTAGGAGCAAAAGATCGAGATATCTAAAAAGTCTTGCACGCGAGCGAAACTGTTAAACGATATTAGAATATGAAAGAGAGAGAAGAAAAGAATTTAAAACGCACATATATGTATTGAAGAAACAACATCTAATACACCTATATTGCCTCACGCTTCGTTACACCTTCCTCCCTCATTACATACTGTTGACCTTATTGTTTGTTGAAAGAAACTCGACATATCGCGCATTCCCGATTACTATCAATGTTGTTAATATATGTTTATATGCAAATGATATTTTAATTTCAATTTTAGTTGAAAGTGCGTAACTAATTTCATGGCGAAAAAAAATCACGTCACTGATTCAAATAGCATTTAAAAAAAATTTATTAAATTAAATTAAATTTGAAAAAAATAATCAAAAACTAAACTAAGCTAATAATTATTAAAATTTACTATTATTTAGTTATTTTTTTATTTTTTAGGATAATAATTAATTTTTTCTATTAATATAATTAATTATTTTTTAGTTTTTAGCCACTTAAATTTTACAAGTAATTATTTATTTTTCTATTAATAACAATTTATTTTTTACTTTTTAGACGTTTTTTTTTTTTAAATAATTAGTTATTTTTCTACTAATAACTAATAATATTATTTACTACATTTTTTTTCCTTATTATTGTAATATTGATTCAGTTTAGTTCAAAGTAATAAAAAAAACTCAATATACAAACAAAATAAAAAAAATCCGCAACGAAAAGCTATTTCCAACAAAAAATTGAATAAAACAAAATCAAAAGATAAAATATAGTTTCTAAAACTTTCAACTAAAATTGCAATAATCTATTTCCCATTTAAAGGAAAACGAAGTAAACGCACACTTATTAAATTCTTGATTAATATCAGTATACATACACTACGATATATTATATTAGATTAACTGTTTTTCCCTGCGGTACTTTCTAGCCGATCAATTTGTTTGCTATTTGCGGAATTTTTTGCTCGTGATGAACGACAGACGCGAAGCCGCACGCAGAAATAAATATCGATGTAGCCGTAATGAGACGAATCGTAATCAATTTCCGATATGTGAGACTGTATACATAAATGAAATGCATAGTTGTGTTTATTCAAGCATTTTATTTTAACTACCAAAGAGAAACGATCTGCAGTGGTCAGCAAAAAAAAAAAAAAAAAAAAAAGATTAAATAAATAAATAAAAGAGAAAAAAAGGAAAACACTTTAAACTTTATAAGCTAACGATTACATTTAACTAACTTCCGTTATGTACATATACACTCGTGTATTAATTGAAAATCTGTTTTAAATTAACATCGCATTCATTTATATAAATAGTATTTTAATTTATACTTTTTGAATTATAACGGAAAAAATACTTGATTAGCAATAAATTGTTAAACCCACTGTCAAATATGTGCTAATTTTTATAAATGACTAATTTCAAAATCTAACAAATGTATTTATTTATTTATATTTTTTATTATTAATATATTAATGAATGATAAATAATTATTTTTATTTATTTATTTATTATTAATTAATAAAAAAAATTATTATTTAATAACAAATACATAAGTAATACAATAAATAAAATGCATTAATAATAATTATTAATAAATGAATAAAATTAATATAAATAAACACAATAAACCTGTTTATAATTAAAATAAATTTATAAACAAGTCAATGAATTAAATAATTATGAATAAATGAATGTTTCTCAAAATTGAATTCTCATAAGGAATTTTATCAACTTTTTAAATAATTGAATTTTTTTGACGAATATTAATAAAATTTTTAAGAATAATTACATTTTTCGAGGAATTCGATTAAAATTGTATTAGAAATAATTGGAATTCTCCAAAGAGTTTTATTATTATTTATGAAAATAATTGAATTTCTAAAAAGAATTTTATTATTTACGAAAATAATTGAATCAATGTAAAACTTTTATTATTTATGAAAATAATTGAATAATTGCGAAGAAATTTATAAAAAATTTGTAAATAATTGAATTTCTGCGAAATTTTTTTTATTTTATGAAAATAATTAAAGGTTTGTGAAGAATTTTATTAAATTTTTTTTAAATGAAAATAATTGAATTCTTTTGTAAAATTTTATTAAAATAGATATTAAAAATCATTCAATTGAGGAAAATTTTTGTAAAATAATTGAAATTTTGCCAAGACTTTTATTAAAATTTTTGAAAATAATTGAATTTCGGAGAAGAATTTAATTTGGTATTTCTGAAGATAATTGAAATTTTGACGAGAATTTAAAAAAATTTTTGAACATAATTGAATTTCTGCGAAGAATTTTATTACTTTTGAAAATAATTTAATTTCTGCAATAATTTGTTGCAAATGCAATCATTTTTCTAAATTTTCCAAATTATATCGTACAATTTACGAACTTTTCGTCTTTTCTCAATCAAATTACGGACTTTACGGACTAGACATTTTATTTGTTATATTATTATTTCAGTTTTAAATAAAAATTTTATTCGACATAAATAAAAACTTTTATTTGAACAAAAAAAATGTTTATTTAAAGCAAATAAAATTTATTTGAAACAAGTAAAATTTATTCGAAGCAAATAAAACAATTAGTTGGCTTTGAGTCAAATATTTCTTTTTTCTGAGTGCATTTTTCTTAAATGCATTTTATCAACAATAATTGTTGATTAAATGGATTACGATAAAATCTCTAGAAATAAAATTATCCTATCCAGCCAACACATATATATAATAAGAATTTGAAATTCTTTTAAACCCGCGAGCACTTGATTTATAGTCGGAAGAAGTCAATCGCCGATCAAGACACATGATGTGGCGGGGTGATTGCGAAGAGGGGGTTGTTGCACATAATTTATTGGTGCCTGGACACCCGGTATATAGACATATATATGTATATACATATCTATACGAAAGCAGAGCAGGAATCTGAGTGATGTGAGCCGATCGTTTAGTGTTTTCCCATAGCGAGTGGATCTGACCCGGGATCGGACCCCGCTTGGTCGACGGTGGGCCCAACAGTGCCCTGGGGTAATCACGGCCTCTCGTCCTCCGCCTCTGGTCCCGTTTCCTTTCCTCTTTCTCTCTCAAATTCTCCCTATATTCGTCCCTTTCCACCCGCACATCAACTCTTTTAACTAATATATATCGATTTTTATACACTTTCTTTTTTTCTTTATGCAAACGAATTTTTTTACAATAATATTTGAATTCAGATACTTTATATGTTCATTCGTCGTTTGTACCTTGAGAGAGTTCCGCTTCTAAATATTTTGTTAGAAACAAATTTTATTTAATTGAAAAAAAATAATTTGGATTGTTTCAAATAAACTTTTTTCTTTGAAAAAAAATTTGTATTTGTTCCAAATAAATTTTTCCCTTTGAAAAAAGTTGTATTTCAGTGTTGCCACAAAAAATTAATTTTGTTTTTCCCTGACTTTTCCCTGATTTCCAGACAAAATTTTAACTTTTTCCCTGACTCTAAAGAATATTCTGATTTATTCTAAAAATTATTAGATACTCAAAAAAAAAAATTCTATTACATTTACTTACAAATTTCATTAATTGTAAAATTATTCGCAAACATCAATAACTTCATTTTTAAATAAGTATTTAATTATTATTTTTTCATAGGAATTAAAATTCTTCAAAACATTAAAATTCAAACATATTTAAAATTCAACAATACTTATTAGAATATTATTATAAAACATGAAGATATGAATCACTCCGAGTCTTCGACTCGGAGTAATTCATATCTTCATGTTTTATAAAAATTTAGATTTCCATAAAATTTTTCAAAAAAAAATTAAATTATTTACAAAAATTAAAATAAAATTCGTTGCAAGAATTCAATTATTTT